TGACCCTCAACTAAAACTCAATGTCAACTTAGGGATTGATTGCTATATTTTTTATTTGACATTATCACATCATGATATCATATTTTTAGTGCACATATTAAGTTAATTTATGGCTCAACTTCAACATCCTCATTTGACCTTAACATATTATATATACTCTAATATTTCAAGTTGACACTCGGTGAGGGATTGTTGTTCTCTACTTTATATTCTTTGTAAATTTGAATATTTTCAATTACAAATTGAGCTACTAGTTTTGATTCTCACAAATCATTAAATAATTTTAATATTTTCCTTAGAGACTCAATGGTTTATTAGAAGACAAATAAGTAATCAACAATACCCATGTTATTTGCAGAAGCTAAATATTGAACATGGGCTGTTATCACATATTTTTTTTGTGTGCAACAATTAAGATTAAACTTTTGTCTCAAAGTAGGTTTCTTAACTTTTTTTTTGACAATCAAGTTTATGTTTGTGTGAGTTTCAATCTAACTTTCCTGAGTGCATCAAACATATTGAAATAGACAACTATTTTGTTAGAAACAAACTTCTTGAAAAATTTATTGACTTTTTCTATTCAATTTTAACATCAACTAGTTGATGTCTTAACCAGATCTCTCTCGATTAGTTAATTATTTCCTCTATTTTACATTATAAATGAAAAAAATATGTATAATTTACCTTGAACAATTTTATGAATCTCAAATGTGTCCCCTTGCATGTGTGAAAGATTTAATATATTAAGGTGACAAAAACTTTAAGTGATTCCTCTTCCACATAATACTTTATTAGTTAAAATTTAGAAGTCTTTCGAAGTTGAAATTAATTAAGAAGAAGGTGATAGTGGGGAAAATGGTGATAAGACCAATAGTAAGAGGTGTTAGAAGATGTTGGATCTCATCGTTGCCTTCGACGATGAACACTGCATTTGAGTGGAGCCATACAATGGTTGTAAGTCTCTTGGGAATGTTGGTGTAAAGGACTTGGTGTCAACCAGCTCAATCCTCAATGTAGAGGTCCCCATCAGCACATGCAACCAAGATTCATTCCCTTCCATACCCATGATTTGCTTTGATATCCTTGAGGACAGCAGAAATGATGATGTGGAAGGTGTGGAGAATCAAAATTTACAAGAGTATAAGTTAGTTCTATGATTGTCACTACCCAACTAGAAATCTTTACAAGGCCAATATTTTCACTTGCTACTCATTGGGAAGTGAGTGGAAGTGACTACGACTGAGAAATTACATGATCTCGTTGACTATTTCATAGTCACTAATGAATATTATTTTTGGCGGTGTCAACCTATCCCCATTAACCTGTTTGAGGGACGTGCAAGGAGTGGTTAATGGTGTTAGCCTATCCAATTGACCTGTATGAAGGTCATGTAGGAACTAGACATGAGAAATGAGAGTGGTTAAAACCACCAACTCCTAGATATGTGCCACCAACTCGTGAATGTGCTTTTTTTTGGGGGGTAGTTGCATTTCTCCTTTTCTTTTATAAATAGGACATTTGTTTCCCTTTTTGTCAATACAAATAAAGAACTTTTTCTTCTTCTTGTGATATCTCATTTCTCTTGGTTCTCTTATCTCTCCATCAAGTTTTCTCTCATTTCTTAACCTCTCTTCTTTCTTCTATTACAAGTGAAGCCTTTATAGAAGAAGAGAAAAATGTATTACTTGTTCAATAGTGTGTGGGCCATCTCAAGGATGTTGAGATATGGATTTGAAGCGTTTGGTAGAAGACTTGTTCTCATTAAGATTCCTCATTATTTGATAATTTTTCTTTCAACATTTGCTCTCACTCATATCTAAAAATTAAAATTTGATTAAATTTTTTCTATAAGTGCTACGATTTTTAAGGTGTACATTGATATTTAGAAGTTGAATAAGTTATTTAACTTCAATCTTTAGAAGCATCAAGTATATGATATATTATTGCAAACATACTTGTATAAGATTTTGGATAGACCAAAGTCAAACAAGATCGATGTCGATGATGGAGAGGTAATAGAGAAGAAGGCTGGAGGTTTTATTCATACTTATTTATCAAATTAGACTCTTCAACATCTCATTGATGAATATAATCTCAAGAAACTTCAAAAGAAGTTAAAAAAATGATATGCACCAAGTTAATGATAAGTAAATTAACGTTAAAAAGAAAGTTATTTGAGTTATGAACGTAAGAAAGAAATGATTTAGTATATAATTTACTTCATATGAAATTAATTTTTTTTAATGAGAATAAAATTATTATTTTACTTATTTCTCTTCCTAATTCATATGATCATCTTGTTATAACCTTGTTGCATAGTAGCACATGACATGTTCTTGAAGATACTATTAATCATTGAAAGATTATTATTGTCATAAAAAGAATATTGATGAGGCCTATGGTGAAGATTTACATGCGAAGGGTGAAAAAGATGTGAGAGATAAAAAGATAAGTAATTATCGATAGAGAAAAAAGAGCTAATTTAAGTCATTGATAAATTATAATTGAAAAACTAAACTTATCACAAGTGTCATGAAAAATGACACTTCTGAAGAGATTGTTTGAAAAATTAGAATTGAGGAGTTATAACTTATCTAGTTTGGTTAATATTGTGAAAGTTGAAGACAATAAAAATAATGAAGTTTATTTTATCTTTGTTGTAGTTGAGTTGTCAAATATACAGATTATTAATTATGATTGCTATTATCATATATGTCATAATGGTGATGTTGACACAGAGAGGAAATCTTAGAATCTATAATCCTCTTGTAAGGAAGAAGAGGAGTACATGAGATTATATAAAAGAGACTAAGAAAGAGAGATGAGAAGAGAGATAGATAATGGGCCTTAATGGGCCAAAAGTTTGATACCATTATCGAACACTCTCCCTCAAACTAGAGCATATAAGTCAAATATGCCCAATTTGATACACATGACATTGTAGGAGACGTAGGCCAAACTTTTCGTGAAGACATATGTGACGTTGTGATAGAGTAGCATGAGATGCGATGACGAGATGGCATAGGAGGCACTTGAGACGAGATGACATTGGGACAAGACATCCCCGGAGCTACGTAGGGCGCCAAGAGGTGATGCAGAGGCGTTGGGAGGCGGCACGGGGCGCCGGGAGGCAATGCACAAGGCATTAAGAGGTGACGTGTGAGGCGCCAGAAGGTGGCGTGGGGCACCAAGAGGTGACGCACGAGACGTCAGGAGGACGTGGGGCACCAGGAGGTGATGCACGAGGCGTCGAGAGGAAATGTGGGGCGTCAAGAGGTGTTGGGAGGCGATGCACGAGGTGTCAGGAGGCGACACGCGAGGTGTTGGGAGGCGACGCGCAAGGCGTCAAGAGGCTGTGCAAGGCGGCAACACACGAGGTGCCGAGAGGCAGTGCACGAGGTGTCAAGAGGCGATGCGCGAGGCGTTGAGAGGTGATGTGCAAGGTGTTAGGAGGTGGAGCACAAGGTGTTAGGAGGTGGTGCAGGGTGCCGAGAGGTGATGCACGAGGCACCGAGAGGTGGCGCACGAGGTGTTAGGAGGTGACGTGTGGGGCGTCGGGAGGCAGTGCAGGGTGCTAGGGCGCAATGCGTGAGGCATCGGGAGGCGACGCGTGAGGCGTCGAGAGGTGGCCACAAGGTGTCGAGAGGTGCCGGGGGGTGCTGGGAGGTGACACACAAGGCGTCAGGAGGCGGTGTGGGGCGTCGGGAGACAATGTGTAAGGTGCCGGGATGCAACATGCGAGGCATCTGAAGACGACACACAAAGAATCAGGAGGCGATGTGCGAGGTGTTGGGAGGTGGTGCAGGGCATTGGGGGATGAAATGCAAGGTGTTTGAAGGCGATGCTTGGGGTGTCAAGAGGCGATGCATGAGATGCCAGGAGGTGACACACGAGGCTTCGAGAGGCAAGATGGGGCATTGGGAGGCGGCGAATGAGGCATCGGGTGTTGGCGGGGTCTGTCCATCACAACTGACCCATTCAGGAGATGTGCAAGAAAAGCTCTCCCGTCTCAACCATTCAAGAGACGTGAGAGAGAGCTCTCCTATCTAACTTACAGGCGGTGATATGATGGTCACGTTGACCCTTAAGACCTGTCCCAAGGGTTGTACAAAGGGAGAGAATGAGGGTGGTTGTAATTGTCACATTTGAGATGTGTGAGCATAATTGCACGTAGATTGAGATGTTTCTTTTTAGGGAGTGATTATATTTTTCTATTTTCTATAAATAGGGTATGTATTTCTCCTTTTTTTAGTACAACATATGATTATTTTTCTTTTAAATCTATTCTCTCTGTCCATCAACTTTATTTTTTTGATTGTCATATCCTCTTTTCTATTGCAAGTGGTCCTTATAGAAGGAGAGAAGAGTTCATTGTTGACTCTTGAGTGTGCAAGTCATCTCAAGGGCATTGAGACGTGGATTAGAGGTGCTTGGTGAAAGTCTTGTTCTCATCAGGATTCCAGATAGCTTGGTGATATTTCTTCTATTTGTTCTCATTGATATCTAGAAATTAAGTTTCTATTATTATTAAGATCATGTGCTTACATATTTTCTCCTACAAATGGTATCACAATATTAGTTTTATTATTTTTGAATTTACTATGACTTTTTAAGTGGATATTGACATCTAGAAGTTAGATAAGTCTTCTAACTTTAATCTCTAGAAGTATCATGTGTATGATGCATTGTTGCAGACTAATTTGTATAAGACTTTAGATGGTCCAAAACTAAACAAGATCAGTGTTGATGATTGAGAGATAATGGAGAAGAAGGCTGGAGGTTTTATTCGTACATGTTTATCTGATTGGACTTTTCAGTAGGTCATGGATGAATACAATCCAAAGAAATTCTAAAAAAAGTTAGAGAAATAATGTGTACTAAAGTTGATGTTGGGTAAATTGACATTGAAGATAAAGTTATTTAGGTTACATATGTCAGATGGAGATGATTTGACATCTCATATTGATTATTTTAATTAATTATTGAATGACTTGCTTCATATGGAATCAGATTTTTCTAATGAAAATAAAGTTATTATTCTACTTGTTTCTCTCCCTGATTCATATGATCATCTTGTTACGACCTTATTGCATGGAAGTACAACACCCATTCTTGAAGATGTTATTGACTCATTGATTGAGTATTATCATCGGAAGAAAGATGTTAGTGAGGTTCATGGTGAAGATTTATATGTGAAGGGTGGAAGAAAACATGAAAGGTAGAAGGAGAAAAGATCTTTAGGAGATAAGAAGAGTCAGTCCAAGTCACAGACAAATTAGTTGAAAAACCAAACTTGTCACAAATGTCATGAGAAGGGACACTTACGAAGAGATTGTCCAAAGAACTAGAGTGATAAAATAATAGAAAGGAAATTTAGTTTGGCTAATATTACAGAGGTTGAGGACAGAGAAGATGGTAAAGTTTATTCTAGACTTATTGCAACTGAAGAGTTGTCAAACACAGATTCTTGATACTAGTTGTGTTTATCATGTGTTATAATACTAACTAGTTTGACTCATATAAGAGTGCAACAACAGTTGTTTCTATAAGAAATAATGCAACTTGCAAAGTTATAGGCATTGGTTTGGTGAAGGTTTGAATGTTTTACAGAGTGGACTGAGAGCTTCAAAATATTTGTCATGTTTCAGTATTACACTAAAACTTGATTTCGCTTGGAGTATTAGAAGCGAATGTATGTTGCTTCAAAGAAGAGAATGAGATCTTCAAGATTATAAACGGATCGCTTATTGTGATGAAGGGAAGACATCAACGAATGAATATTTATAAACTTAAGAAGAGTACTATTGTAGGTAAAGCTTGTGTTGCGACGCTGGATGATTTCATAATTGATGACACACTTATATGACACTTGTGATTGGGTCATATGAGTGAGACATGTATGTAAAGTTACATACACGAGGACTGCTACCTAGTGTGAGAACTTGTAAATTGAATTTTTGTAAGTATTGTATCATAGGGAAATAATGTAGGGTGACATTCAAGGCAGTGAAACATGATACGAGTGGTGTGCTGGATTATGTTCATTTAGATGTGCGTGGTCTGATTGATGTGACATTGATGGGTGGTGCTTTATATTTTTTGACTTTTGTTAATAATTTTTCTAGAAAAGTCTAGATATTCTTCTTGAAACACAAGTCTAAAGTATTTGCAAAGTTCAAGACTTGTGTGATGGTAGGGAATCAGACAAAAAGGAATATCAAAGTCTTGCAGACTGACAATAATATAAAATTTAAAAGTTTTGAATTTGATCAATTTTTTGATAAGCATGACATTCAACGTCATTATACAGTGAAGAAAACTTTACAGAAAATGGTGTTACTGAGTGGATAAACCACATGATTACTAAGAGAGCACGGTGTTTACAATTGAATGCCGACTTGTCCAAGAATTTTGGGCATAAGCTGTATGTCAACTTATTTGGTGAAAAAATCCCAAAGTTGTGAGTATGTCACCAAATTCTACTCTTTATGGAAAGATTGCTAAAGAGGTATAGATTGAAAATCCTATTTACTATTCGAATTTACATATATTTAGATGTTCAATATAAGTCCTTACATCTACTAATAAGAGATCGAAGTTGGATCCAAAGTCGAAGAAATATATTTTTTTGGGTTATAGTATTGACGTGAAGGGATATCGACTTTGGGATTTAGAGGTGAAAAAAGTTATTTTCAATAGGGATGTGATTTTTGATGAAGATCACATATTGAAGTCTTTTTCTACAGAATAAAAAAAATCAAGAATCTAATGATACTCGAGTTGTAGATAGAGCAAGGTTGGAGGTGGAGACTGCTCAAAGTTTTAGTTCTACTGTGAGTGAAGATCGAGTTACAAAATATGACGAGCTCACAACTTTTTAGGAGGTAATTAGTTATCTTAAAAAAGAGAAGTGGATGCAAGCAATGTCTAAGGAACAAGCATCCTTAGATAAGAACCACACTTAAGAATTGATTAATCTTCCTGTATAGAAGCAAGTTATTAGGTGCAAATGATTATATAAGAAGAAGTCACTGATGATTGATAGTGATTAGCCACAGTACAATACAAGGCTTGTTGCAAAAAACTTTACATAAAAGTAAAGAATTGATTATATAGATATCTTTTCACTTATTATGAAGCACACGTTTATTCACTTGGTGTTAGCCATTGTCGCACATGAAGATATGAAACTTGAGCAGTTAAATGTCAAGATGACATTTCTTCATAGAAATTTGGAAGAGACTCTTTATATGTAGCAGTCAAAAAGTTTCATTGTGCAAGGGTTAGAACATCTTATTTGTCAACTAAAGAAGTCCATTTATGGGTTGAAGCAAGTATCAAGATAATGGTACAAAAAGTTTGACTCTTATATGTTGAAGATTGACTATACGAGATGCGATTTTGACTATTGTGCTTATATGAGGACTTGTGATGATGATTCTCTGATTATTTTGATATTCTATGTTGATGATATGTTCATTGCTTCGAAGAATTCACATAAGATTATTTGATTGAAGGCACCATTGAGTAAAAAATTTGACAAGAATAATCTTACTCTGGTAAAGAAGATTTTTGATATGAAAATCTATAGAGACCGGAAGTTAGGTCAGTTATGGTTGACTCTGATGAGTTATCTTTCGAAGGTGGTGGATATGTTTGGCATGAGTTATACTAAAATAGTGACCACTCTTCTAACTAGTCATTTCGGATTATCTACTACTCAGTGTCCTATATCTGAAGAAGATATTAGTCAGATGAAGAAAATTTCTTATGTTAGTACGATTGGTTCTCTCATATATGCTATGATTTGTACTAGACCAGATATTACTCATGTAGTTCGGCTTGTGAGCAGATTTATGAGCAATCCAAGAAAGGAGCATTGGAGCGTAGTGAAGTGGATTCTTCGATATTTAGATAGTTCTTTAGATTTTGTGATCCATTTTAACTAGCAAAGTTATCTTTCTACTATTGGCTTTGTTGATGTAGATTTTACTAGGGATTTAGATCATCGAAGATCTATGACGGGATATATTTTTACTATGGTTAGTGGACCTATCAATTAGAAGTTTACACTTTAGACTATTGTTGCATTATCTACAACTAAGGCGGACTACATGGAAGCTACTGAAGTTGTTAAGGAGGTCTTGTGGTTGAAGGGATTATTGAACGAACTTAGGATTCAATAGGGTGAAGTTCTTCTGTATTGTGATAGTCAAAGTATTATTTGCTTAACAAAGAATTAAGTCTATCATACACGATTAAAGCATATTGAAGTGCGAAATCACAAAATCTGTGAGTTGGTGAATTTTAGAGATATCTCTTTAGAGAAGATTTACACTAAGGAGAATGCTACAAATATATTGATGAAGGTCGTCACATTGAAGAAGTTCAAATATTGTTTGAATACGATTCATGTTGTAGGTACCTTATAGAAGGTGAGAACTTACAACGTGGACAGATGTCAACTTCGGGTGCAGCGATGATGGCTGTCAAAGTGGAGTTTGTTAGTGGTGTCAGTCCATCACAACTGACCCATTCGGGAGACGTGCGAGAGAAGCTCTCTTGTCTCAACCGTTCAAGAGACGTGAGAGAGAGCTCTCTGGTTTGACCTGCTTAGGAGGCATACAAGGAGTAAGGGGGCGGTGACACGGTGTTCACGTCGACCCTTATGACCCATTCTAGGGGTCATGTAGAGAAAGAGAATGAGGGTGGTGCACATAGATCGAGATGTTTCTTTTTAAGAAGCGATTATAGTTTCTTGTTTTCCATAAATAGGGCATGTATTTCTCCTTTTTTTAGTACGACATATGACTATTTCTCTCTTGAATCAATTCTCTCTCTCCATCAACTTTATTTTTTTGATTGACATCTCCTCTTTTCTATTATAGGCAAAGTCATTATAGAAGGAGAGAAGAGTCCATTGTTAACTTTTGAGTGTGTGAGTCATCTCGAGGACATCGAGATGTAGATTAGAGGTGCTTAGTGGAAGTCTTGTTCTCATCAGGATTCCTGATAGCTTGGTGATATCTCTTCTATTTGTTCTCATTGATATTCAAAAATTGAGTTTCTACTATTATTAAGATCCTATATTTGCATATTTTTTCCTACATCGAGGGGTATTGCGGGACGCTAGGAGGTGATGCACGAGGCGTCTGAAGGCGACACACGGGGCGTCAGGAGGCGTCGTGAGGTAATGTGCATAGTGTTATGAGGTAGCGTGAGGCATTGGGAGGCGATGCATGATGTGACTTAGTCGCTATATATTAAATCACGCAAATCTAAAATTTATAAAACTAGAAAATATGATTTTTCAGATATTTAGAAGTATTTATAAACAAATATATTAATTATAATTCAATAAAACTTCCACAAAATAGCGATAATTTTCCAAGTCGATCACAGGGATGTAATATAATATCTGGTAATTATTCAGAATTTTCCTCAAAGAATAATATTTTCTATGAATTTTATACTAAGAAATAAAAAGGAAATATATTTAAAATTCACGGAAAAAAGAAATAAGGGTGCGGATGTCAGGATGACATCAGCGTTCTGGCGAACGCAAATTGGGTGCAAACAGAGTTCTGCTCGAGAATTCTTACGTAAGCGATTACAGATGATTTAATTGATCAAATTAAGATCTGTAAAAGCCGGAAGAATCGTAATGAAATGAAGTATATCTTGGTAAATTTAAAATCAACAAATTATCACTAAATGAAATGAAAATTAAGTTGAAAGTAGGAAAACAGAGTTCCGGCGTCGCGACGGCGATGCATCGGCGATGCACTGGAATTTTGAGTGTTCAGGAGGATAGTCGTGCAATGTCCACGGCCTCGAAAGCTCTGCTTGGACAAGGACGATGTGGGCAATCTCTGATCTCCTTGCAAAGTCTAGAGATCAATGAAATGGGTCGTCGAATCGTCTCTGGCGGCTGTCACCTAGCGGAGTAGAAAAACAACGACTTTGCGGCTCTCCAGCGACTGTCACCCGATGGAGAGGAGCTGGATGGAGGTGGGGCACGTGTCAGGGAGCTTCATCCTCAAGTCCGGCAGCAAGAGGAGGCTCTTCATTGCATTTGGTATGCTCTCAAGTGGTGGCGACTCGTCTCCTGACGGATCGTCCTCTTCCCCACGACGGCTTGTTCGTTGATCAATCGGAGATGATTTATTCGATGGATTCGCAATCCTTTTATCGTGAATCCTTCAGCAATTTTAGTAACAATGCTCCGCGAATCGCGTTGACGAGATTTTTGCCGATGATCCAGCGATTCTGGTTGCTTAATCCTTCACCGGCGATCTGCAGGAAAGTCACGATAATGAGATAAAAATATGAGTTTTGGCTCTGGGAG